AATGAGGCAGGTGAGGTGGCAGTGGCTTCAGTCATCATTACCAATCCTGCATGTACTAAAGGCTACTAGGAACCCAAATACTGCAACAACTGAAGGTGACTTTACCCCCAAAGGACATCTGGCAAAGTCTGGAGATGTTTTTGGCTGGGGATGTCGGGGTGGTGCTAAACAGCTTACAACACAGGGCCACCCCCTACAACAACAAATTAACTAGACCAAAATGTCAACAGCGCTGAGGTTGAAAATGCCTGTTTGTTTTTTTTTTGTGACCGGTAAGGGGATGCAACCCTTGGCTTGGTGTCGCCCACACCGCGCTCAGCCAGTGAGCGCACCAGACATCCTTATATAGGATCTGAACCCGCGGCGGGAGCGCCGCTGCGCTCCCGAGTGCACCACGGGGCCAGCCCAGAAAATGCCTGTTCTAAAGCGATAGCATCCCTCTGTTCATTGAGTTCATACGAGAAGACACTTTGAACTTACAAACGAGGAACTATCTGGTAGGAAGTGATTATTTTTTCCATAGCTTTTTGGTTTAAGCTACAACCACTGTGGTATTGCTAAGCATTTCTTCAAATATTAGCTGGATGCCTACTAAGAATCAGGCACTGCCACATTTTCTTTAAATTGGAATATGAATATATTTATTAGGATGCTCACAAGAATGAGTGACATATTAGCACTCCCCTCATGTGATAAAGAATACATCTGACCCACACTGTGGCAGGAAACAGGGTTACGGGATCTCAGAGCTGGTGCCAAGTGTCCAATGAAGAAACTCCCCCCACATTGACCAAAGAGACGCTTCTTTGGATTCCATTGTCTCCGCTGTAGCTTCCAGCCAGGTCTCCATGATTTTCCCAGAAACTTTTACTCCAGCACCAGTTGACCCCTCTTTGCTTCTGCCACTCTCAAGGTGTAGGTAAACTGTCCCACGCCTAACTCACCCAGGCCACCTCTGGAATCCTGCAGCACATCTCTTTGTTGCTGCCCTGCCACCCTCAGGGGCACGGTTGGGGGTGGGTAGGAAGAACATAATATGTTAACAAAAGCAAACAGCAGGGGTAATTAGCAAATGACACTTGGACATAAGCCTAACAACCTCATAGAACACATGCTTCCTCCCCAAGTAGTACACAATCCCCTAGAGAACAAAGGAAACTCCTCAATCATTCTAACACGGATGGAAAGAATCCTTATGCCAGGCACTAGGGATATAGATGCACAGTGTTTACTCCCATCACACCCTGCACACAGTAGGAAGTTAGCAGATGAAAACTGGAACCAGATCTCTATGTGGGCTCAGTAGGTTTCTCCCGGCTCTTCCTGCCTTTGAATGGAGCCACCATCCTGCTGCTGTCTATTCTGGGCATTAGTTTGTTTTTCAAAAGGGAGAATAAAAGGATGGCAGAGAGAAGGTGGAAGGAGAGATGGGGGTGAAACAACCCTGTAAAACAAAACAAAACTACAAAAATCCAGAAACCAGATTTAGTGCTACAACATTTTATAACAATAAAAAGTAGCCAAAAATACCACATGCTAACACAGACAATATGATACACAACCTCAGGGGAAGGAGTCAGCAGGGAGAGCGTGCCAGAGGACACAGGCTTAGACTAAAAGCCTTTCAATGGACTGCTGAATGGACTGGATCTGCTGTTTCAGCTGGGAGCCTTCTTTGATGGTGACAGAACAGGCGATGACAGGCCTGGAGACCCCACAGGCCCGCCCCAGGGCTTGCTTGGAACGCACAAACACGTAGGGCACGTTCTTGTCTTCACACAGCAGAGGGAGGTGCAAAATGATCTCCAGGGGCTCAGCATCCGCAGCCATCACAATGAACTCAGAGATGCCCCTGTTGAGGGTTTTGGTGGCTGTGGAGACAAGGACATGAGGCAAATAGGTGATGTGGGGCTTGGGCAGGGCAGCTACAACAAAGCAATTTCCAGGGAAAAGATTAACAGTTGCAAGAATACTGGACAAAACACCCAGGCACAAGCAGTTCTCTGTTTCTGGGAGCGGCCTGAGACGTGATAAGGGATTCAAACATCTTCAATGTCTCTTCAGATATCTTCAGTGTCTCTTTCTCAAACCCTACATTAAACCCGTTACTTCTGTCTTCAAAACACATCCTGAAGGCTGGCTGGCTGGTTCAGTTGGTAGAGCATGGTGCTGACAATACCAAGGGTCAAGGGTTCAGATCCCCACACTGGCCAGCTGCCAAAAAAGAAACAAACAAAAACCCACATCCTGAATCTGACCACGTCTTTTCTCTCCTCTGCTACCACCCTTGTCCAAGTCACCATCATTTCTTGCCTGGTTTCCACACAAGCCCCCACCAGCACAAAGCAGTACAGTGTAGCACTTCTCAAGCTATCCATGACCAAGGATCAGGGTTTTCCTATCCCAATCTGCCATGATCAATACTTCTGGAAAGATCACAACCACACGCAACAGCACTGTTTCAAATCTTACTCCTGTCTCTAATCCGTGGATCATACTCTACATGGATTACACTCTACATTAGAGCACAGACTCTACAGCCACATGATCACAACCACACGCAACAGCACTGTTTCAAATCTTACTCCTGTCTCTAATCCGTGGATCACACTCTACATGGATTACACTCTACATTAGAGCACAGACTCTACAGCCACACTGCCTGAATCCAAATCCTGGCTCTCACTCTCATGAGGCACACGACCTTGGGCAAGGTATTTAACTTCCCGCATTTGTATCATCTATAGAATAACACAATACAGTAATTCTACCTAATAGGATTCTCAAAAGGATTAAGCAAGTTAAAAAGAATGCCCAGCACATGGTAAATGCAAAATATGTTAGTTTCTACTGATATTACTACAGTTTACTCTCCACAAAAAAGCCATGGAGTGATTTTTTTTCCTTTTTAGTTCTTTTTTTAAATTACGGAGTGATTCATTTTAAAAGCATTAAGTCAGATCATGTTAATCCTGCTGGTCAAAATCTTTCTAATAGTTTCCCATTGCACTCAGAGAAAAATATAAATTGCTAAAAATGGTCTCACGAGATCTCCTAGTTACTTCTCACCTGCCTCACTTGATTCCAGCCACACTGGCCTCCTTAGGATCCCTCAAGCACGCCTCTGCACTATGCCTAAAAATGTTTCCCCCAACACCCTTATGTATTCAGTTCTCTGCTCAAACTTTAGCCCCTCAGAAAAACCTTCCTGAATACCCCATCTAAAAAGATCCCACCACAGCCATTCCCATTCCCTTACCTTTATTTCCCTTTATAGCATTCTTTACCACCAGACATATTAAAAATGTCTTCCACTAGACATGTGCCTGGCACACAGTAGGCAATTAATAAACATGGGAAGACTAAATACTTAAAACTGATGGAAAGGCACAGGAAATTGTTGCCCTTCCCTCCCTAAACTCCTAGTGAGTACATCCTGCACTGAAGCAGATGAGACTGAGCACCTCCATTCACGGACCTGTCAGTCCTGGGCACTTTTGGGCCCAGCGCCACACAAGATCTATCAAGAGGAAATAAGATGGTACTGTCTCTGTGAGTCGTCATCTACTGGAGGAGCAAGAACTCAGGCCAAGCTGACCTGAGTACACCGATGAGAAGAGACCTCTCAGGAAGGCTGGTGGGCCTTCCCCACCACTGGTCATGGCTATACCTGGCCCTGCAGTTACTGCAGTGTGAACAGGGCTGAAAAGAGCACCATAACGACAGATACGTTGTTATGATGTGATATGACAGTTTTCTTTATCTTCTTTCAGCAACACATGTAAAGCAATTGTAATGGTTCTTCTAAATCTCAAACACAGTTGACAAAATCCCTGATGTTTCAATTAATATCTTCAAAGATAAAACAACTTTTCCACAGCAAAGTACTTGGCATCTATTAAAATGAGAGCATTCTAGGACTGGCCAGTTAGCTTAGTTGGTTAGAGCGCAGACTTATAACAGCAAGGTCAAGGGCTTGGATCCCCATATAAGCCAGCCTACAAAAGAACCCCTCAAAACAAGAGTATTCTATATCATCTCTGGGCAGAAGTATCACAGCATATATAATTACTCTACTAAAATATTGCCTTTTAAAACAAAACAAAAGGAGAATGTTTCTGGGAATCAAGTGAAATTAATTCATGATACCTATGTTATCATAAATGTGAAAAACCATTAATATCCCTTTCCTTCTGATTGCTCTTGGGAACTCACAAAGTTAATACAAAAAGTCCCTACAACTGCTTTTCAAATGGTTCGGCAAAAACAAACAAATACAGTACACATATAGAAAGAGAAAAAGAAGGGCCGGCCCGTGGCTCACTCGGGAGAGTGCGGT